TAGAATAATATCCATTAAAACATGGTCACACAGTAACTACATGTCTTTATTCTCAAATCAACTATAAATGTGTCGCGTTACAGTAAGAACCACAACATGTTAGAATTACGGAAAACAAATAAAAGTGACTTTTAATGATATGAAACAAGTCTATTGATAACTTTAACAACACTATTGACAACTCTATTGATAGTTCTAACAACTCGAAGAACTATATTGACAACTCTAACATAATAGAAATTAACTTAACTTAGTTAAATCATCCAAATGTTATTCTGTAACTCAAAACTCCTAAAAATTATTATACTAATAATACTAAATTATTATTATTATTATTAGTAATGAAAGATTATATATTAGAAAACTAGAAACATGATTCTCCATTATTATATTAATACTACATATACTGCTAAGTGAAATAATATATATATTTGCCGTTACAGTATATAAATATATATTATTATTCTCAATTTTAACTCAATACAAGACATACCATAATTTATATATGTATCATAGTGAAGCTTTCTATATAAAAATATTTATCCAAAAGAAAGTAACATATGTAGCAAGTGATGCTACAGTAGAATGACGCTACATCACATTGAAACAATATACACAGGAAATCACTACTATGTATATCTTTCTCTATTATCAATTTCATACGTACATATATAATGAAAAGCGATGCTACAGTACCGATATATATTAAATTAGATTCTTAATCAACACTCAATTTTACCAATATATCAATTTCAAACACAAACAAAAATAATTTTTATAACCCAATCCCACATACTATTCGTCATATACCCTATTATAGAGTCAGAACTCAATCCTTACAATCGATTGAAAGTTGTTCTAACTCTCCGATTGAATCTAGCTTTGCCTCCTCTTTACACTTATATGTATCTCTTCCAAAACCCTTATTTCTTGTTCTACCAAAACCTATTCTTTCTCCTCTTTTCTTTCTACTGATACTTCTATTTTCTTATTATTTCTAAACATCTATTATAATATAACTACTAAAGTAATATAAGGGTTTTTAAATACTCTATTATATTTTCAATTATTTATATCTCTAAAGCATTGATATATTTATATCATATCTAACTAATTAGAATAGAACTCTCACTTGACATAATTATTTGAAGAATGTTTACTTTAACACCATTAGTGACATACATATGTGTAGATATATTGTATTAGGATGATTTTCATATTAGTATAACTACTCCCTTTTAACCTATATCTACTCATTTTATATTAACAAATGAGTGACTACACATATCACACGAACCACCTCTACTTACAACCACACACACAATTGTATTAGTTTCCCTCAACCTTCACGGACAAAAATGCAATATTAACCACAAAATTAATCAAACCAAGTAAAAATCCACAACTATTTTTCAATTATAAAATTTTCAATCTTAAATCTCTAAAACACTAAATAAGTATATAATATTTAACCAACTCCTAAATCAAGTCTAGTTTAGAGTTATATGAGAAAAAACCCTTACTACTACTTCTAACATTAAAATAGACTCACATAAATAATAATAGTATTAGTCAATATTAATCCTACAACTTAATCAACTAATTAATTCAACTAAGAATGACATAACTTAAATCAATATTTCACAACTTCAAAAATTTAATCGAAAAAATATTGGAAAAAATTTAATTAAATAATTAATTAAATATTGGACATTATAATGTCCTTGTCAGAAGGATTAGATGTGCTCTCAAGGAGCTAGAGGTTCTGATTCAGATTTGTTTTCACAAAGGTGTGAATTTGTTCAATAATGGTGTGAAGTTATGGTCCTTCATTATGAGCATGTGAGAATCTTTATGTGTTTTCATATGGTGTTGAAAGGGTTATGTTCAGAGGGAGTATTGTTTATCCATGATAGAGGGAGTGAAGTACTTGTCTATGGTGTTTTGCTTTAATGGTGCAGATATTGTGAAGCTTGTGTGTGTTTCAAGCTTGTAAAGGTTATGTGCCTCTGGTGAGGTTGTGATAAGTAGTTATTTAGTGCTCTTGACAAAGCATGGTTGGTTATATCCATGTGAAACTGGGTGATTGAATTAAGAGTAAACTTGTCTATCTGTTTGTATCTGGAGGAATTTATTTTTCTCTGCAGATTTTGGAAGGACTTTTGAAGGTTGCTGTTGAATGGGGATGTCACTCATGTGATGTTTTGGATCTTGATATTTTGATTTTTATTGCCATGAAAGGAGTGAGCTCATAATCCAGTGAAACATCCTTGATTGGATAGTTTAAGAAGTGTTGGTCATATTTTGTTTAGAAAGTAGACAATGTCTGACTGGATGTCAGAATATTCTTCAGTACATGTTTTTCTCCTTGAGTCAAACAAGGAAGTATTATAGACGGTGCTATCAGAAGGATGTGTAAAACGTGATTTATGTTTCTGCATGTGCATTTATTGGAATTATAAAGACAATCAAAATCTATCTTGGACGATGCATTGTTATTTAGTTATCTCCCTCAAATAACGTTCTTATTGACCAAGACTGTTAATTCCTAAGAGAATTGCGTGGCTAGTTAAAGAGCTCATTTCTTCACCTATTTCATCTTGTGGGGGGTTACTCTTTCTCTATTCTTATGGTATGTGACAAGATGTGAGGCTTTGTTTGTCACGGTTTGGAAAAAATGGGGGAGAGGGTTATTGTTTTGATATTGATTAATCTGAGTTCTATCTTTGTAGTTGATTTGCAAAGATGTTGAATAGAATGTCCTAGTCTGAATTTGTGTCTGGCTATTTTTGTGACTTGTGATATGAGTTATGAACAAAGTTGTGACCTGTGTTTTGAGTTACTTGTAGTAACAGTGAGATCCCCTATGTTGGTGTTAGGTCACCTCTCAAGTTTCCTCTTATGTGCCTTGTGAGGAATGTTTCTGGATTAAAATCTTTGTCATATTATGGCTAAAATGGGGAGAGAATATGTGACCTATATGTGGTTATCTAAGAGAGATAGATAGATAGAGAGAGAGAACATTTGTGTTGGACTGTCATGAAGAAGTCCTATTGTTGATGTTGTGACATCTTGACTGAAGAAGACTGAAGACTGTCAAGTATGAAGACTAAAAGATTATGATTGACCACTTCTGATGTTTTTTTTTTAGTTTAAGATTGCTGCTAACTGGTTGTATTGTTTAGTCTTTGAGTTATGTTCTGGTTGTATTTATGAAAATGATATATAAATTAGTTTTAGCAAAAATAAGTAAAAAGGAGAGGTTGTAATTCTCTGCTTCTATAATTGATATTATGTTTAGTAAAACTAATATAGCAGCAATATGTTAAATAGGATTTTCTAACTTGTAGGAGAAAGCAGGTTGAAGTTCTATTTTATGAAGAACATGTTGAGTTGAAATGTTTCAACAACTGAAGCAACATATCAGATAAGATGTTCTATGCAGGGTCATTCGAGATCACGCCTATGTTGGGCTGGACAGTTGGATCAGTTCAAGATTTAATAGATGCGGAATATTTTGGAAATATTATGCTATCCTATGAGGCGTAGTTTTATAGGTCTGGAAGATTCAAGCTGAAATCGAGAGGAATATTCATTTTCTATTTATGGAGATAAATTAGGAAGAATATGATTTAAGATCTATTTGTAGTAGAAGATTCTGCTGATTTGTAACAGCTGATATGCTGTGATTTGAAGCCCAAATTCAGTTGAAAAAATGTTATAAATAGAAGCATTGTGACCTAAAAAAAGCACCAGCCGTGAATTGAAAAGATGTATATTAGGGCTGAGTCTGTATCACTCTCTAGGAGAGTTGGTTGTGTGTTCCACTCAACATGTGAGTTGGAATGTGTTTCTTGAGTTGTAAGTTTCTGTTTTCACTCAGAAGCCTTTAGGTAATGAGTTGAGTATTGTTCTTAGAGGAAGCTTGTAAGCAACTCTAAGTTGTGTTCTTAGTCAAGAGTCTTGGTTGGATATTGTCATGGAAGTATGCCTTCTAGTTTGATGTCATGGAAGTATGTCTTCCTGTTTTGTCCAATCGCTGTCTGTGATTGATGAGAGATTGAGGAGGGCCTCATATTTAGATGAGTCTTAGATAGAAAGTTAGCAGGGGTAGTGATTAAGTGAGAAGATCGTAAACTAGTATGTTTGTTGTAGGATCTTTAAATTGATACTATTATAGTGGACTTTATCACTGACTTGGTATGCCCCAGAGTAAGAGAGTTGCTCCGAACTCGATTAACAATTTTGGTGCGTTGTTTACTTTTTAGTGCTGTTTTTTATTGTTTATACTTTGCCTGTGTGTTTTGTTCAGATCAAATGGAAGAACTTATTTTTCTTTTTGAGACAAATTTTTCTATTAGATACAAAAACGTATCTTTTTGTTGGAGGCAAATTATAAAACTCATTCTTTCATATCGTTGTTGACGTTAATATTGCCCATAAATATAATATTTTGGTAACAACTTGCTACTATTTCACATTTTATTACGTACATATTCAATCATTACAATTATAAATTTTATTTAAAGTTATAAATGATAGAACTCGTGCGGACGCACATGTCTTCTACTAATTCTATCTTAGCAACGGTGTTATATCTTTCTTTAACTAATTTTTATCTTTATTTACCCTGAATTATTTTATGGACTTGTTAAATTTAATAGCTCAAACTTCATCTAATTTTTATCTTTATTTGCTCTGAATTATTTTATGGGCTTCTTGAATTTAGTAGCTTAAACTTCATTGTTATCTATATATTTTTGATCTTGTGAAAGAGGAATTTAACGAGTCAAATGTATCAATTTATGCAATTTTATGTAATTATAATACGATACAATTATATTTTTATTAAATTTAATTTTCAATACAATTAGTAATTAATAAATAATAAATTATACATATAATTTATAAGTTTTCTTTATTTTTGTAGATGGAAAAACAAAATAGCCTGTTAGAAATAGTGGTAGGAGAGGAAGTTCCAAAGAAGTAACAAAGCAGAAATGCAATGCTGCTGCAACGCTGTCCTTTTGCATCCTGAATGCCACAGAACGCGCTACTTTCAGCCACCAAGGTTTTCGCTTACTCCACCTTCCCAACTAGAAGAAGAACCAGTCTCTCACGACGGAAAATCCAAACTAATAACCAGCGCTTCAAACCCATTCGTGAAGCACTGCCTCAAACTCCGTAACAACTCTTCTTATCGCCACTCTCATGGTTCTGTTATTCTTGTCGGATCTACACCTATCAGGTTTTACTCCTTTCCTCTCCATTTCCTATCTACAGGTTTTGAAATTGGTTCTGAGTTTGACAAAAAAACCAAGTTATAGGGGGTTTTGAATTGTAACGACATACACTTTGCATTTTTTAATTATCACTTCTTTTACTCTGGCAGTACAAGCTATTGAACAAAACTACATTGATGATTAACATAAGCTTGTTATTTACAGAGAGATCTACAAGTTTCAAGAATCAACGCAAGATAAAAATGTTACCATGGATTGCTTAATTCTTCCGGAGAAAGCTGAAATTCCCAATGGGTTCGATGAATCCACTGATTCTATTGTCCGTGTGAGCTCCATAGTAATGAGAAAGATTTCAGGTCTGCAGTCTACTGATTCAATTGATGCAGTTGGCCTCATGAAAATTCCTGCAAGCTTTTTAAACTTAGATGAGACTCTAACTCACTGCCACAACTGGTTTCCATCTGCACATCGTATTTTAGTCCTAGATGGTATTCAGGTGACTCTTAATGCTATTTCTAGATTTAACTCTTAATGCTAATGTTTCTTTTGAATCATAATAATGTTTGATTCACCTTTTGGAAAAAAGGTCTTCCAATTTATGATTTGAATCTCTATTTGATAAACTGTATATGAATAAGTTTCATTTCTGATCTCATAAAAATAGTTTAATTGCCGAGTTATGTCAGGTTGTGAAACTTTGAAATAAACACTAGGTAGAATTTTCTCTTTTGCTCTATACTCTATATTCTCATCCTACTTGTATCATACGGGAAGTATTTGCTGATGAGCCACAATATTCGTCAGACTTTTGTTGGAAAATAGTTATCTAGTCATATGAATTTCTATGTAAATATTTCGAAAAACAAACACCATACAATTTTTTTGTGAATTTCAGAAAATTCACGTGTCATTGATGATTTATTAAAAAATTGTTCGCCGCAGGATCCTGGTAACCTCGGTACATTGCTCAGATCAGCCGTTGCCTTTAGATGGGTAAGCTATTATCCTCTATTTCTTCGTGCTTGCTATATTCTGATCCTGTTTTTCTCTACAGAATCCTTTTCCAATGTTTAAGTTTTACCTGCTTCAGGGTATTGTAACATATCTTCTCATCTATGAGTAGCCGAATCCATACTTTCTCACCATTCGTTCTTCCTTGTTGAATAAACTAGCTTTAACTGATTGTTGGTACTAAGTTATTTACCATTGTCAACAGGATGGAGTTTTTCTACTTCCTGGATGCTGTGATCCGTTCAACGAGAAAGCACTTCGAGCTAGCAGAGGCGCCTCCTTTCAGCTCCCTATAGTTTCCGGAAGTTGGAGTCATCTGGAGTCTCTCAAAGAAGAATTCCAAATGAAATTGCTTGCTGGGCATCCAGAGCATGACAGGTTAATCAAGCCGGTTTGTTCACTTTCTCCAAACTTCTGTGATTCCATATCAGATACACCAATGTGTTTGGTTTTAGGTAGTGAAGGAAGTGGCCTTTCTGAAAAATCTCTGAAAGCATGTGAGCTTGTGAGCATTGCAATGACAGGAGAATATGAGTCACTCAATGTTTCTGTTGCAGGTGGAATTTTCATGTATATGCTACAACCTAATAACAAATGACATTTTCTGATTTATCGATAGTTAAATATACTTTTCATTTCAGTCAACTTGGTGAAGTTTGATTTTAGTCTAAGTGTTATTTGGTTTTTGTCCTTAAATTGATGAGACTAAAACCACAGTTTCAATAAATTTAGACTTAAAACGAAGAAAACCATTCGAGATCAAAAATCAAATTTTGTTAATTTTATAGCTATAAGAAACATCAACACTTCTATATTTATATAGTCTCAATCAACAAGTCTGTCACCACTGACCATGGAGGAGATGTACATGAAGCTTGCAACCTTTTCTTTCTTTTCCTTTTAGTATTTCTTCCTGCCTTGTGAATACTGTTCAGAACTGGAACCAGAAATAGGTGGAGACCAAATGGAATGGAGTTCTGATGCGGTGGAGTGAGTTTTTGATACGGCGGTATGAAGTGGATCTTCAAGATTAACACTCTAACGGTCAAAGTAATATAATATGAATATATGAATAAGAGAATATTTAAAAATAATATTTGAAAATGATGTCTGTTGGGCTTTATATAGCGTGGGAGGTTAAAACCGTCTCTGTGTGATCCGACGTCTTTCATAGGAACCGTCTGATTGTATCTAATGATGGATGATCGTTCAATGGTGAGGATCAAGGGCAAGTCCCCTAGTTACGAGTCCCCTAATCCCTCAACTCATTATTTATTTTGACACTTCATAGGATTTCATAGGATGCATTTGTTTTAAGGTTTAAAATTAAAACTCCTTATAATGCATTTGTTCTGGGATCCTAATTTGCAGGAATAATATTTCTACTCACATGTAAAAATATATTCTCTCCATTTCAAAATAATTGACAAATTAAGAAATGCAATAATATTGTTATAAAAGATTACACTTTTACAAAATTAATTTTATTAATGTATTGAAAATATCATCTAAAGTAAAAAGTAAATGACACAATTGGAAAAATAATAATCATTACTATATTGAAAAATGAAAATGATAGTCATTTTGAAATAAATTTTATTTGTTACAACGACAATCATTTTAAAATAGAGGGAATACCTTTCCTTGAAATATTTTTAAAATTTATTTAATTTAAAATTATAAAAAATGAAAACACAACTGAGTGGTTATGAGAAGTTTGAGTTTTTTTTTTAATCAAAGAAAAAAAAAAAAAATATATATATATATATATATATATATATATATATATATATATATATATATATATATATATATATATATATATATTCAAAAAAACAGTTCAAACACATGACAATCACAAAAGATCCTGCTACCTTTTAAAGAACACAATCCTGCTCCTTAAAAACCAAAAGACTAGAAAAAAATAAGAACACAATTATATCATTAATTTTACTATGTGTCTTTTTAACTATTCTTATACCATCCTCCGTAAACTATAGTATTTATCATATATATATATATATATATATATATATATATATATATATATATATATATATATATTATATTATCTACATTGTTATCAAAACATTTGTCATTGTGATATTTCCAAATATCATAAATAGTCTCTCCAATAGCCAACTTAAGAATGGACGTTCGCCAACCTTTGCCTTTGCTTCTCATAATTATCCGATTCACTTCGGCATGCCAATCTTTCGGATCACGATTCAACTGGATTCATAGCCAAATAAATCTCAACTTAATGCAGCCAAAGAAAAGGTGATCTATGATCTCTTCACCAGAACAGAAACAACATCTACTATTGTCAATTATACCAAAATAATATAATCTATATTTTTTTTTTGTGGGGAGCTTACCATGGCATACAAGCCATAATGTGATCAAAGATCTAAGTCTCACAGCATTTCCATAAAATAGGCAGCTCCAGGGAGCCTGTTCAAACTCTCTTGCTATTATCTTCCCATACATGTGCTTCATTTTGAAGTTTGAGTATTTTATTTTTATGAAAATATTTGATTTCCATTCTTTAAAATTAGCAAAAGAAGAAATCAGGTCTAAATAACATTTGTTGGAACAAAAAATATTTTGGAACAATTTTTAAAATCTTGAAACAAATGAGAAAATGTTGCACTCCCATAACTATCTATATTCTTAAAAGTGTAATTTTAAACTTTGAAATAAACACATTCACAGGGTTTATTGGCAAAACAATATTTTAGTTTTAAAATTTGAAAATAATAAAATTTGTTTGGTTATCTAATTTTAAAATTGTTTTTTATTTATAAGTTTTGCAAATTAAAAAAATAAAAAATAAATCTTTTATGTTTTGATTTTTACTTTTGAAAACTGAGAAGAAAAAAAGAAAAAAAGAAAAAAAAATTGTACAATTTTCATTAATAACAGATTTGTAATATTGTGTTATTTTAAAATGTAAAAGAACGAATTTAAATTATCTTGCTTTAGAAATGCAAATGCGCCTACGAAACAAGTTTTTTCATTTTTCCATCTTAAATTTTTTTTTTCCAAAAATAAGATCAACAAACGTGTTTCATTTTTTTTTTTTAAATTTTAAATTTTAAATATCAATCACAAAAATTATTTTAGTATCAGAATAATCTAATTCATGTCTAGCTGGATGAATAAGTTAAGGTATGAGTTGTTGGGTGGATTATTCTCAAAGTAGGCCTACACTAATAATGAAAAATGAAAATTTCAATACTCCAATAATTTTGTACTTTCCAAAATCTTTACTTGGATACTTTTCAAAATCTAGATTATATTATTCACCAAAAACAACAATAATTACTTTATTCCTATTGTTATGGAATAAAGAGAAACAAGATGAATGTTTAGAGAGAAAGTGTTGGTTCACGATTTTGAAAAGTTTGCCACCGAAAAAATTATTAGGTTGAGTCGGAGATTAGGTCGTTCTCTTTAAAACGTTTCATGGTACTATTTAAAATTATGTAAAACAGTTGAACTACTACGCCGCCTCCAAGATAAATCAGTTCAGTCGAACTATCGCGTTGCCTTTAGGATAAAACAATCTAGTTCTATATTATACGATTTGACCACTCATAATAATTTCTCCAATAAAGAGAAATTCAAATAATTCTCCAAAAAGAATCCAAAAATTAATACTTGAAAATTTCTCAACTCAAATGAGGAAAAATTAACATAATTTTCTAAAGAGAATTCAAGAAAATACTCGAAAAATTCAACGAGTAGAAAAAAATAGGAAGAAGTTGGTGCTTCGACAATTCGAAAGACGCGGAGTTATGAGAGTGAGGAAAGAAAAACTAATAAAATAGTTTTTGGTGTAATTTGGAATGAAACATGTGCATTCCTTATATAGTGAAATTAGCTAGTTAATATTTCTCACATGAGCAATGTGGGGTTAAATGATTTTTTTCAACCACAAAAATTATTCTAACAATGTGGGACTTAGAAAATTTTTAAATTTAATATATTGGAACATGGACATGTTCCAACAATCTCCCACTTGAATTTAAAGAAGTGATTTTAGAAGTAACGTCAAACGTTTCTAAGATTGTGCATAAACAAATGTGTCTACAACTTAAACCTTTGCGTAGCAAGTAAGATTCAGATTCAATAAGAGTGACACAAATGTCTTGAACTCTATTCCAGACATCAAACCTACACACAACTTTTTCTTAAGGTGTATTCTAATAGCCCGTGCTTTAATGGCCCTACACGTGTATCCCAATTTAGTGAAGGCTCTAGGAATTCTGTCTCAAAATTCCATAGGAACCGGCCTAAATTCTACAATCACATAGGTGAGTCTATCAAGAGTACTCATGTAGCATATGTACTCCCTCATATAGAGTATATATCTCATTAAGAGTTTCTATTATCTCATCCTCTTATCGCTTCAAGATTCATGCTTGTATTATTTACATTAGCATGATCACTTCATATTACTCACAACTTGTTATTACCCATTGAACTTATTTCTTGGGATCTCCAGTCATTTAGGTTGGATTACCATCATGAGAAACTCATATTCCTGTATACATTAGTCTCATCTTATATGATGTATTATAAACTTTCTCTCTAGCTAATCCTTTCGTCAAAGAATCTGCTAAATTTTCATCATTGCATACATAATCCACTCTTACAGCTCCTTTAGTGATATCGTCTCTAATATTGTTGTGCTTTCTTCTAATTTGACATATATTACCATTATAAAATTGGTTCTCAATTTTTGCAATAACTGTGGTACTATTGCAGTGGATCAACACAGTTGGCATAGATTTCCCCATAAGGGAATCTCAGTTAGCAAGCATCTTAACCAATTTGCTTCTTCACTAGTAGTCGCTAATGTTATCATCTCAAACTCCATAATGGACTGAGTCAGGATAGTCTGTTTCTTTGATTTCCAAGATATAGTTCCTCTAGCTATGTAATACATAGCCACTAGTTGCTTTGGAACCATGTGATAAGGTATTACAATTTGCATCATTGTATCCTTCAAGTACAATAGAAAATCTCTGATAATGTAAACTGAGATTCACGATCTTTTTAAGATATCACATGACTCGCTCAATAGCTTGTCAATGTTCATTACTCGGTCTACTAGTAAACCTGTACAAAAATCCCATGACATATGCAATGTCGGGTCTAGTACAATCAATGGAATACCTAAGACTTCTAATGATGCTCACATATTTTGTTTGTCTAACACTTTCACTAGTGTTCTTAAACAGCTTCATGCTTGGATCATATGGTGTACTCACAGGTTTATTGTCAAAGTAATTATATTTCTTTAAGATCTTTTTCATATAGTGTGATTGATCCAAAGAAATTACTTGCTCGGATCTCGTGATCTTGATACCAAGAATCACACTCGATTCTCCAAGGTCTTTCATATCAAAGTTATTGCACAACAATGATTTCATATCATTAAAGGCCTGAATATTTGATTCAAATATGAGTAGTTCGTCTACATATAGATATATGATAGTGCAAATGCGATTCTCAAATTTGTAATAAACGCATTTGTCACTTTCACTCAATTTGTACCCATTCGATATCATTAAGTTATCAAACTTTTTA